CGTACGTACGTCGTCTCGTCTCGTCTCTCTCTCTCTCTCTCTCTCTCTCTCTCTCTCTCTCTCTCTCTCTCTCTCTCTCTCTCTCTCTTNTTCTCTCTCTCTTCTTTCTTTCTTCTCTCTCCTCTTTCTGTGTCTCTCTTCCTTTCTCTCTTTTCCTTTTCTCTCTCTTCTTCTTTTCCCCTTCTTTCTCTCCTTTCTCTCTCTCTCTCTCTTTCTTACTCATACTCAAGGAGGGTCCGAGCACCCCTCCCCTTCTTTCCTTCTCTCTCTCTCTCTTCACTTACTTCCCCCTTTTCGTCCAAAGCTACGGACTCGCGCCTAGGGCAGGCCTGACTTCCTTCTTCTTCTTCCCTCGTGTTGCTTTATCTCTCACCCTCATTGAGTGACTGACCTGCGCCTTAGGCTGGTCCGCTCAACTCTCATCTATCCTCTCATGTCTGCCCTCACCATCTCGTACTCGCGCCTTCAGCCACTCTCTCGTTCCTCACTTATCCGCGCCTAACATCCATACTCCTATCTGCACTTAATCCACCTACACTCTTGCACCCGCGCCTTCAGCCACTCTCTCGTCTCTCACGTATCCACACCTAACCCATCTCACCAGTCCTCATCCGCGCCATCGACCAACACACTTCATCCGCATCATCATTCAGTACCCTCCATCCGCGCCATCATCCAGCATTCATCATCCGTGCCATCACTCTCATGTCTTCACTTCCACCCGCCATATCCTCTCGCCTCTCTCACGCCCACACCTTGTCCGCCCCTATTTCACGCATGCCCTCATTCTCTCGCGCTCGCGCCCAGCATTCGCTCACACTGTCACTCGCCCTCACTCTCACACCCATGCACACCCTCACTCTCCCACACCCGTGCCCAACATTCTCCTACACTTTCACTCACCCTTGCTGTCGCGCTCGCACCCAGCACTCTCTTACACTTTCACGCATGCCCTCACTTTCTCACACCCGTGCTCAGCACTTTCCTACACTTTTACTCACCTTTGTTCTCACACACGCGCCTATCACTCCTTACACTCGTGCCCGCGCCTATCATTCTCTACATCTCTGCCTGCGCCTATCACTCTCTACATCCCTGCTCGTGCCTATCACTCACTCACTCCCATCCGTGCCTTCATCCACCTTAACCACTACACACTTTTACACACCTTTAGCGCACACCTTTAGCGCATACCAAGCCCTACCCACTGTTACATCCCTATTACCTCTATTCGCCCTTACTTCCTTATCGCCTCTAACTATCCCTACCCCTCACATTTGCACCCACATTCTTCATGCTCTTTCTCTCTAAACCTTACCCTTTTTCACTCTTAATTTATCATATTGCTATTTTATTTCTTTGATCTTCGATCTTCAACTTCTCTTCTCCTTTATTGGTTGCTTCCCTCATTGCCTAAACACTTGACTTAGGGTCATCCTAAGATAGTGTCTTAGGGTCCTAATTCTGGGATTGCTGCTCTAACCACCTTCTCGTACAGTGAACTTGGGTCATAAGAGGCATTGATTCTCTTGCACCCAGTTACTCGGGCTGGGGTCATCCTGAGTCGGCTTTCTTAGAATCTTGACCCTCTTGCTACTCTAACCACTAGGTCACACAGTATTTGGGATGTAGGAAGCTTCCTTCTCTCTCATTGTCTCTCTTATCTGAACCATTTACCTACAAATTAGAGCCACTCACCCATTGAAAGGTACATTAAAGAGGAGCACATTCTATATGAATTCCATCAGTAGTTTCTTAAGTGAGATTCCGAGGTGAGGTGTTGAGTTTTCAAGAGGGGGCTGTGTCCAAACCGAGCTGCTGGACAGCCGGAGGGTTTTTGCATGCTGATCTAAGAGGGCATTAGCCCGGGCTTATCCCACGAACTGAAACCGCGGAGAGGTAGGTGCTTGAGTCTATCTCTTCATTGCTTTTAAAATCCTCTCACAGTTGGACATACCTATCTGCAAAGTGACGCACGAGCCACGCAAGCGACCCGCGCAAAGGTCATGCTGTTGTTCGAGAGGGGGTCCAATCCAATCCGACTCAGGCTTGACCAATTAAATGTGAAAAAGCAAGGGGTTTGTGTACATGTGTGAGGCTTCTAGAAGGGGTATAGGGTTGGTAGTTGCAAGTCTAATTAAATGGAGGAAAGTTTTGAATTTTGCTTTTTGTTGGAATTTTGACAGATTATCACAAGGGTATACCCTCCGTCTTGGTTTTGGTTTAATTAAACGTAAAAAGCACGGGCATTTTAATTACAAGGGGAATTCTAGTGAATTAAAGGAGGATAAAGGTGTTTAAATCCATACTATACATCTTGATGACGTGATGGTGGATAGTGGGCTATGATCAAGCCTCTCTTTGTAGCCATTGGATGATGACATGGAGGGCTAAGATTCATCAATCTAGAACTATATATGCACTCTTAATGGTTAGAATGCTATAAATACCCCTTTAAGCCTTAACCTTTGACATATAAGTTCACTCTCTCTCTCTTTTTCTCTCTCTAAGTGGCACGCCATTCTCTCTCTAACCATCAAAGTGGCATGCCCCTAGGCCTTCTCCTCTTCTTATCTCTCTCTTGAATGTTGGTTTGAAGATGAAGTGGGAGAAAACTTTATTGAAGTTCCTCGATAACTCTATTAATGGTGATCCAAAGCTCAAATTCAAGCCATGGATGATCTAGTCTTAAGGCCTTCATCAATTGAGTAAGACCTCTTCAATTTCCTTGATTCTTCTTTTCGTAAATTCTTAATTACAGCAAGCTATCTTCATCATCTTGATCTTAGATCATTGATCTCTTGAATCTACTTTGATCTTTCTTGATCCCTAGTTGAAGGCATCATCCATACACAATTTGGTCGAGTTACCTATGATTTTTGGAGCATTTTGATTGATATTTTGTGAGATTTTGATCACCAAATCAGTGAATTAGATCTTCATTTTGATACCTCAAATTCTTGTTTTCATAAGAGGAGATTATGCCGAATTTATGTAGCTCGATTTGTGTACTCAATTTTTGTGTTTTAAGAGCCTTGATTTCTCCCATGATTTTTCTACTTGCGTTGATCACTTGGTCTTTGCAAATCCTTCCATATTTGAAGTGTATATTAGTAGATGCTTGGCTTCCCACTCTTGAGATGATGAATTTGGCCGAATTTTAAGTTATGCCATTAAATGTCATCCAATAGCACATAGCTAAGACCCAAGGCCGTAAACCGGGCACTCGAGAGCTCTAATCGGCTTCCCATGGATATGTTGCATTATACACTTGAGCATATATGTGTTGTTATGTTGGAGATCATGTCATATTGAGTTTTATGGAGTTTATTGATGTATAATTTCGCATTGTAATTTTGAGCGGTGCAGAATTTTCAAAAGCACCTCATACATGTGTAGTTTGATGGTCTCCTTGAGTAGTTTGTTTTGTTGATGGACAAGAGAGCCTAGTTGAGCTGTATCCTTTTATTTTTTAGTGTATTTTGAAATCATTTGTCCATTGTAATCACAGTAACCTTGCTTGTAAGTTCAATTCAAGTGTATTGTGTAAAATTCACATTGTATTGTCTAGAATTTTGGCATAGTGGTACTCCAATTGTATGAGATTTGGTTTCTATACATTCTCAGTAGTTTGCTCAGGGCCTGAAAAGAATATAGTACTTGACTAAATGTGATATTTTGACATGCTTACTGTTAGTGTTCTTGTGCATGTCAATTCTTGTTAAAACTGTATTCTTTATTCTTTGGCATTTGCAAAGAACAAACCATACAGATGAAGTTCCAATGCAAAATTGTTACACAATTTGTAACCATGTGAATTTTATTTATAAATTAGCCTTGATGTTGCAGGTTCTGTAGATGATGGCCCAAACCATTTCTTTTCCAGGGACATGCATTTCTTATCGAAACTTTACTCGAAGGTGCTTGAGATCCAATACACATTTATCTGCTTCCTTAACTCATGCTGAAGGAGTTAAATTGGAATATTCTCCATGGTTACTTGTTGGATTAGGAAACCCAGGGAACAAGTATCATGGTATCAGGCACAATGTATGTGTACTTTGACTTTGCTTTTGAGCTGTTTTACGATGGTTTAACGAACTGTGGTTCCTTTTGTTTTATATTTTTATTTTTATTTTGAGCCATTTAATGCATCAGTTTGGTTGTTCCTTCCGTTGATGTGGTTACAATGATCCTTCAAACCAGGTTGGCTTTGAAATGATTGATTGTATTGCTCAAGAAGAAGGCATTGCCTTGAATACAATACAGTCAAAGACCTTACTAGGAATAGGTATCCCTTAAGAATTTTGTTCATAACAATGTCATTATGATAGGAAATGCTTGTAATTTTTAGCAAATTTCATTCTATGATCCTGATATTCTCTTTGTATAAGCTTTCTAAGGTTTAAATAATTCTCTTTCTCTTTGTACTCCCTCTTATTCTCTATAAAAGTCAACTTTATTAAAAAACAAAAAACTCAGGGATTCTTATAGGTGAACATTAAGTGTCATACTCATTAAGAGTTTGAGATATCATTATCGCTACAAACATTCCTTTTCCCTTATATTTTCCATTTGCTATTTATTTACAGATGTTTTAGTTGTTACTTCAATTTCGTGCCAATTGATGCAGGTTCAATTGGAGTGGTACCTGTGTTGTTGGCAAAGCCTCAAACCTATATGAATTTCAGTGGAGAATCGGTAAATACCTCTTCCTTACTTAGGAAACATGGGTTTTTCTCCTTTCTAGGATTGAAATATTGATGTTCTTTATGTTCTTCCAGCATATGGCTTGTCACTGCTGTGAAAGTCCTATTAGTTTTATAGCTCACATCATTTGTGATGCATTCTGCAGCATCAACTCATAAACAGAAACTATGTAAATGTGTTCTTTGCAAAAAAAAAAATAGAAAACACCCATTATATAAAGTTATATACCTGCTGCTGATTTAGAAAACTTCAAGGTGATATATGCCCCCGTAATATTTCTTTTTGTAAGGACTGTAGGCCAGTTCGAAAACTAATATGCATTTTTATCATGTGGTTATTGGTGGACATATAAAATGACTCTTGCCAATGGGATGAAAAGTGGTCTTTTCTAATTTCTTCACGCTCAGAAAAGTCAGCATCTTGAATGTTTATAGTACCTATTTGTATTTTAAAAGGGCATCTAAAGTGATGCTCTCAAGCACACATGCTTCAGTATCTAAAACAAAATGGAATCGAGCAAAATGAAATACTCAACTTGGTTTGAGCATACATTTTTCTATTATAGACTGCTAAATTATCACGTGCATCCCACTCTGCTCAGGATGTCCATGCATTATGTCACCATGAATACCAAATCTCAACCATAGACTGTTATAGCACATGCATCTCACTCTTCTCAGGATGTCCATGCATTATGTCACCATGAACAATTGTATCAAAATGTCGCCATCTAGGCCCCATAATTTCTTCTAGAGTATTCCGTTTGACACTGGAAGTCGCCCAACATATACGATTCAATTTCATTTCACTTTTCTTGGGTGCACACCAAATACAAATTTTCTTTTCTTGCTTCTGATATGTGCACAGTTGAGTTGTACGTGTTTTTTCTTTACAATTATTATCATTAAGTTGAAAGAAACCGAATCTTGATAATTTGAGGTGTGGATGATTGCCATTCTTTTTGATTGTTAACATTTACTATCGATGAGATCACTGTGATTTATTTGGAACCACATTTTGGCATTTCTGTATTGCGACTGAAACATTATCACCTCATCGTGTAATTTGATGCTTATAGGTAGGAGCAGTTGCTGCTTACTATCAAGTACATCTGCGACATATCTTGTTGGTGAGTTATCCATGTTCATGGTTAATTACATATTCATTTATTTTTATATTTGACGACACTCATTTGGGATAAGCTCCCAGATTTATGACGAGATGAGTTTACCAAATGGTGTTTTGAGGCTTCAAGCTAAAGGAGGGCATGGGTATCATAATGGGTAATTCTTATTGGCCTCTTCTTGTGAATGCAGTGCTATCAATGTAAGTATTAAAAGAAAAAACAGATAAACAATGAGAAGTCTGTGCTGTTGTATGTTGATCTTTGATGCCATACAATGTTAGTCACCTTATTGTTCTAGTATTTCTTTGCGTGTTTCTATGGTTAAGATTGAGAAAAATTATGATGCCCCTGTATGTTCTTATCCCTAGTATATGTATCTGTTGCTATATGCAAGAAATATGTTATAATTCTCCCATCAGTCTTATGGTTCTGTGTCTTACTGGTAATTGTCGGCAAATGCATATTTGTCTTGGATGGAGCTTTTCCTTTTGTTAGTTGTCGGACACCGTATGTGCCCCAACGTGGCAGATATAAAAACAAAGTACACATGCACAAGACTAGATGGGGTATATATACTTTTTTATGGATCCTGTCTTCCTTTTCACGCTTATTGCTTCTTTTCACTTGTCCTGAGTTTACTTTCGCCCCTTAAATCTCCATCTTTGATTACTAGAATGTGCAAATCTTGAGCCTTGAGAGATTGCCCAAGGCTTCTTGCTTTAGCCAAAAGAAGGATGCTTTTGCTAGGGTTCCCTTGAACAGAGAGGAGAGAGTGTGATGTGGGTCTATGGGGAACTTTTTATAGAAGAGAGAAAAATAAAAGGCTTTTAGGAGGTACATGCAACTCTCTCTCTCTCTCTATCCAACCCCCTTCTTATAGAGGACCCCACTCTCTTGATTCCTCCTATAATGGGTGCATAGAAAGATATCAATCCCTCATCCTTCCGGCGGAACATCACAATGTATGGACACTTGCATATTTTATTAGAGAGATGCGTAGTGAGGCTTTAAGGAGCAGTGCATCTTTGCAGAGAAAACTACATTAAGTTTCCATCAGACTAATGTGGAATATCTTTTGTCTCTAGCACATTACTGCTCCAAGCTGTCTTAGACACTTGTCCACACCAGATTGAGCATCTCGACTAATCCCTCATGAGCTATTTAATGCTTAGGAGAGTAATCAACCCCTTATACACATACTTACCTATGTCATCCAAGAAAATATAATTCTTATGCACACCAAGAATTCATATGCAGATAATTCAAATATTATTCTACAAGAACGTCCTGAGAAAAAATTTTATGTTGCTGATTAGTTGATTACCATCATGTTTTGCACTAGTTATGTACGTACCAACCGTGGTGTGCTACAAAATGTTTTCTCTGGGCCTGCTATTATTGTGCTCTGACATAATCGCTTTCGTAGTTGTGCTCCCTCCCAGCTGAATCATGCATGACCATAGGGAGAAATGCTAAAGTAGCAAACACATCACACTCTGCAGGTCTTCATTTAATCACATATATACCATGCAGGTCTTCATTTATACTATGCAGGTCTTCATTTAATCACATTTATAGCTGTTGTCGCACCCAGTTCATCACAAGGTCTCACCCAAACTACTAACTTAAACACTCGATTTTCTCACTTAGCTATCATTCAGGGTACATGATTCGATGGGACGTCATGTGAATCATGTCTATTTCTAATCATGGACTCTTATCTCTATCTTTCAGCAAGGCGATACACACGCCATATATGTCTCGTCCTCCAATGTCCCTAACATTGAGGGCTGGCGACGATCTATCTTACAATGACAAAACATCCTAGCTTGCGTATGTCAATGTTGCATCTAAACTAGTGTATGTGCATTGAATAAACCATTATACCATAAATGACTTATATTAATGGTAAAAACAATTATCATCCATCACTGAAAGAGTTGGCTAACATTTATGGTTAGTGTTTTAAATGTTGGATGTGGACCTAATGCAGTTGAGGGCCAATGCTGCGATGCGTTCCAGATGAGGTGCATCACCTCCAATGCGGTCAATAAATTTTAAAAAATAAAATAAGAAATCATAAAAAATATAATAATGCATAGTAAAAAACATAGATGCAATTTATGTGAAAGTAGCTATTTTAGTTTACTCATTATCTGTAATATATTAGCTGTCTGAGACTCTGCCCTGATAGCTTGACAAAGAGTAAGTGAGTTTGTTGTTCTAACTTATGTAATAGTATAAATGCATAATACAATTAACCTGTAAAATGAAATAATCTATTTGATCTCATATAACATATCTAAAGTTCCAAACTTCACATAATCATCCAAAATTCCGAACTTTAAAGTTTAAACTCCAAAACAACAACCACCAAAAGTTTATGAAGACATTAAAAAACAATAGATAATCAACTTTGAAGTCTCAACTCTCAATCAGACAAGTCATATGACGATTCTTCATGTGCATGTTCGTCTCCCACATCTGAAAGGATGTAGAGGCATCATCAGCACTATCATTGCCCCCTCATTGTATACTTCGTGTTTCTCAGTCTCCTATGAGTCAACCTCCTCCTCCTCGATCTTTGGAATTGATGTGCAATTGAACCCACCTTTTTTCTTCTTTGTTTCTATTGCTGGGCCTTACTTCATGTCAGCTCTTGTGGTGCCCTTGCCATTAGGATCATCCAATCGAATTGGGTTGACATCCATGCGCTTCAGATACCTTTCCTTACGACACTTGTAATATCACACATACACGAGATCATTCAACTTCTTCTGCTGAAGCATATTTTGTTTTTTTTGGCATGAAGTTGCACATCAAAACAAGAAAAGGAAAAAATGTTATTTTCTACAACCTACTCTTCCTAGAGTTTAGGAATTTGAAAACCAAGAAATAGAGACTTACATGCTCAAGTGGGCTTCAATTGCATTTGCAGCCATAACTAAATGCGAACCTCAACACTCGAATTGCGAAACATGAAGATTTGGTGTCTCGCTTCCATGTGATGCCCACTGCACAGCTGCATATTATTTTAGACATTTAATTTTTTATATAATGGAACTATACAAGTAAAACAAAATAAAGAAGGCACTGCTCGGTTAGCTAGTTGTGTAGTATCCTTGTTTCGAGTTGTGATGACTCTTCCAAAGTTCCTCGCTGCACATTGGAGCTTGATCACCTCATGACTTTGGATCTTATCTTAGATAGCTGGGTCTGGGGCCAACCTCTCAAGCACGTCTAATAATCCAACCATTTATCATACGATTTGATTTAATGGATGGGTGCTTATAGTGAAGAGATGGATCCATAAATAAATGAGCTGCATAGAGGGGCCGGTGAAGCTGGTTATCCCATCTCATATCAATAATGTTAAGTGTAGGTTTGTATTTGGTCTTTTCATTCTTCAGAATCATTTTGATCTCTTCTTTTGCCTTAATCATCGCCTCATGTATGTAGCCGGTAGCGGGCTTTGCTTCACCATCACCAATTGTTGGACTTTCACTAAAGGGTGTGAAACATCCAATGCATAGTAGACGTGGGTCCAAAAAGATATATTAAGGACAAGTTGATGAAATTTTGTCCCATTTTGATGCTTTGATCACTTACTTCTATTCCACTTTGCTGAAGCGAACATGGTCCTTAAGGTACCTTTTACTTGCATAGGCTTTAAAGGAAATGGCGGCAAATTTAGTTGCTGCTAGCCTCACCATCTCTTTCTTCTTTGTAAACTCCCTCATTATCTTAGAACTAGGGTATGAATATAGATAAAACCAATGACAAACTTAGTTTATGAAATTGCCTCACTAACTTTGAATGTCTTACCTTTGTCCTCAAGCATGAGATCAAGGCAGCAAGCTGCGCAAGGAGTTAAAACATAAGCCTCCTCTTCACAGTCAAAAGATGCCCAATTGTGGAGTAATTGGCACCATTTTCAGTGACAATTTGTACCACATGCTCCTCCCCTACAAAGCCTACAATATCATCCATCAACGTACACAAGTATGTTGCAGCATGTAATTTATTTGATGCATCAATAGACTTCATGAAAAAAGCACCTAAAGGACAGTTGACCAAAAAAATTAATGAATGCCTGAGGCCTTCCATCAGACCATCCAACGAACATGATGATGAAAATTTTCGTAACTTCATTCACAACATCCTTTAAAAGAGGCTCTCTAGGCTCATGTAATGATGGAGGTTTGAGTCTTGGGCCATATTGCCCAATTGCCTTGACTAGAACCTTGAAAGTATCAAGGTTTACGGTATTGAAAGGAATACCGGCTTGATAAAACCACTTAGCAATGCAGATGCATTCCTGATTCCTTTCTTCTTTCTTTGATCGATTTTCCAGTGTGGTTATTTTGTTTTTTTTCCTCCTTTCCTTAACCAAAACTTTGGGGTGTAAAATGCAACCATTGGCCCCTTAGGGAGACGTCTATTTTGCCAAACATTACCACCAATATTTATAATCCTCCCTCTCTTGTAACCCTATGCCTACTTCCAACTTCTGATGCATATTCTTCAAATAATTAAATTTCCTGCATTATTTCTTTTTATCTCATTTTCCTCATTTCTTTTTCCTTTTTGGTCTATAAACGTATTCCTTAATCTTTCTATTAATCTCCTCAATGGCTTGGGGGCATGCTCTAACGTTCCCACTAATACTGGCTAGGTGTGTTCTTTTTTGCCAGAAAATGCCCCCCATATAAGTACTCCCACAGAATTCAATTATCACAATTTTAATCCTTTGGGTTTTTTAGTTCAGCATGTTTCCAAGCTGGATCCTTGTTGCTTGAAGATGATGAAGACATTGCCTGAGAAAAAAGTACTAGGAAATGAAAACTTTCCAGATAATTGAAAGAAATTGTCCATTGAAAATCCTCGATTAGTTAGGGAATTTTCGCCCAAATTCATTTAAAATTAGATAATCTCAATGGATAACCAAAATAATCTCTTACTCCTTTTCAAAAACTCTCAATTCTAGAAAAAAATGCAAATACATTTTTTTTTTTTTGTGGTTTTTAATCCTCTAAGAACCACCAAAAGTCATTTCATTTTTGAGGTTGGGGGGGGTGGGGGGTGTTATATACCCCCACAAACTCCTCCCTCCCCCTCTTTTCGCGGGGGGATTTGCATCTTTGCCCATGCTCGTGG